ACTATCCCCCTCCTATTCAATATAGTTCTGGAAACATTACTAGGGGAATTAGACAATACAGAGAGATATAAAAGGAATAAGAATAGGAAAGAGAAGTTAAATTATCATTATTTGCAAATGATGTGATACTCTAAATAAAAGACCCGCAAAATTCCACCAACAGACTTGTAGACTTGGGAAGCAAATTCAGGAGGTTGGCTGAGTACAAAATTCATACTCAAAAGCCAATAGCATTCTTGTACACAAACAACAAATTCAGTTGAGACAGGAATTAGGGAAAGTATGCACTTCACAATAACATACAAAAAATGAAATACTTAGGAATCAACCTAATGAAGTAAAATATTTATATATAGAAAATTACAGTACTTTAAAGGAAATCAAAGAGGAATTCAGAAAATGGAGATACCTCTTGTTCATGGATATGAAGAACCAACATAGTGAAAGTGAACACACACCCAAAACTGATCCACAAATTTAATGAAACCCTGATCAAAAAACCCTTAGCATACCTCACAGATCTACAGAACAAATTCCTAAAATTCATGTGGAACCAGAAGAGACTTAGAAAAGCAATGGCAATCTGGGGCAACAAAGGCAAAGAAGGAGGCATCACAATTTCTGACTTGACATTGTACTATAAAAGTGCTATAGTAAAATCCACATGGCACTGGCAAATAAATAAATCTGAGGATCAGTGGAACAGAATAGAAGGTAAAGACATGACTACAAAGATACTCAGCCACCTTATTTTTGAAAAAGGGGCAAAAATGTTCACAGGAAGATAGTGTCTTTAACAAGTGATGCTAGAAAAATTGGATTTCCACATTCCAAAGAATTAAAGTAGACTCATGCCTATCACTGTGCACTAAACTAAAGTAAAATTGGATCAAAGGTATGAATGTTAAAACAGAAACACTGAATCTATTGGAAGACAAAGTAGTTTGAAATCTTCAGGACACAGGTGCAGGCAGAGAGTTCATGAATAAAACTCAAACTGACATAAATTATTTCAAAGAATCAACAACTGGGATCTCATCTTATTAAAAACTTCTAAAGGAATCACCAACAGAGTGAAAAGAAAACTCGTGGGTTGGGAAAAAAATTTGCCAATTGTCCCTTTGACAAAGAACCTCTATCTAGAATGTAGAAAAATGGAAAAACATCAGGACCTCCAAATTCAAAGACCCAATTCAAAACTGATCATTGGAGATGAATACAGATATATAGTAATCAAGAGTGCAAAGACTTCAGCTCAAGAACAGCAGGAAGATAATAAGAAAAATATAGGCAAATATATCAACTGGCCATTAGTTTAATTATTTTGTTTCATTTCAGAGAGGTATTTGGTCTTTGTTCCTCCATTTTTTTGCATCAATTATCCACTACAGTGACAGGAGTCATCCTTGCCTGGAGTCATGGGGTATTTGGTCATCAATCTCTCCAGCAGATTCTTCACTGAGAGGGCACTGGTAGGGAAACAGTCAGGGGATATCACTGTGAGTTCTAGAATTTAGCAGGAGTGCCCATCAGAGAATATTTTTGTATCAACATTCAAATTTTTAAAGCTATATATTTTCAAGTTCCACATCTCAAATTTCCACAGATTGAAAATATCCGAAAAGCAATTTTTGATAGTGAATATATACAAACTTTTTGTTATTTTTAAACAATATAATTTAACAATTTTTGCATAGCATTTACATTGTCTTAGGTATGATAAATAATCTAGAAATGACAATTTTTACAGGAAAATCTTTATAGGCTCTGTTTAAACACTACACAATTTTCTATAAGGGCATTTAGCATCTGCAGATTTTAGTGTCTGCAAGAGTCCTGGCAACAATTATCCTTGGACATCGAGGGACCACTCTTGGGTGGTCCCTTGATATGTGTATGATACTTGTTGAGTATCATACACTTACCACAGAGTGGAGCTCAGATGTAAACCAAAGCAGTCTTAGTTTAGATTTTTGTGCCTATATGCTGTATGTCATTCTTTTAGACTGATTGGAATAAAAGTGATATATTTCTAATTTAGGAACAGACATAGTTTCTCCCTTTTTGGCAATTAGGAGGTTATCAAAATTTTTATTTTAAAAGAACTTTTAATCTGAGGTAAATTACTTATTTAAAGACAAATTTACTTATGTGCACATAAAATTTTTAGTTGTAAGAGTATTGAGGATTCTATTATTGAAAGATAATTTGAGCTAAGAAATTGAAAGATTTTTGTTGAACTCATAGTTGTTACTATAGCTTTTTAACATCATTGAACCACAGTAGTGACAAACTGTAAGCTTAGCTGGAGGCTATCACAGGGGCTAATATATAAGATTTGGTACCTCTTTGATATTTAGCCTAGATTACTATTAAGTTTTATGTATCTTTTTGGTGATACTTTCTTGCTTTATGTAAAGCAACATCTATGTTAATTAAAATTAACCTCATATAGTATTAAGGTCAGGTAAGGATGCTCAGGGGTTACTTTTTGGACTCTTACAGAGCCTCAGCTCTTTTGCAAGTGTCATTGATTAGTCAGTCTTGCATGACTGTATAGCTTCCCTTGGAAGCGACAGTGGTGCTTTCTTTCATTTGGAGAAGGTCCTTTAAGTAAAATATACATTAGGTTATGGTTAGGGTAGTGAAAATATTAAGTACATATGAATCAATAATTAAAATTTAGAAGTTTTTGGAAGATTCAAACCTAAGCAAAGCATTGCATTTAGATTTTACAAAAATGAAAATAATGCAATCATAGATGTCATGAAATGAAACAATCACATAGTATTGATGAAATAAGAAATGTTTGATGGTATTCAATTTTGACATCCTACAAAACATATGTAAAAAATGACACAGTAAGAGATACTTTCCATTCTAATAAAATGACATTTATCTTTATGAATCCCTACTTTTTAAAAGATGTTATAACCCCTGAACCATATACAAAAGTTGCATACATGAAAGAAAAAGAGTATTTAAGAGAGTCCAAGAGTTCAGCAAAGGAAATGACTAGAATGTGTAGAATGATGGCTAGATTTAACCTCAGAGTCAGTTCAGTACATGAAAACTTGAAATAAAGTGTGGTAAGGTAAGCCAAGGGCCCATAGCTGTCCAGTAATGTTGAAAAACAATGTCAAGGTTTGAGAGGAGGTATCTGGCATTGTCAACATTTAAATGATACCTAAAAAATATGTGTTTGTGTTTCAGGTGAAGTAGTGAGATGGTGAGTTAATTTCAAGATAGAAGAGATAATATGTGAATTTTGGGGTACATGCAGATGGAACTGTCATGATGTTACATTGTGTTAGCACATACATGGTTATTAGGGTATTTTCCCAGAAAGTATTGTCGTACACATCTTTACATTTTTGTGGATATTTTTCATGGGTTCTGCTGAGTCAACACCTACAAGTGAAATCAGTAGTTTATAAGGAGTCCTCTACCAGCATGCAAAAGTCCAGAGGTCTTTAGCAGTGTGTTTATTTTAAGCATGAGTTCATGGCCAGATACCTGTTTGAATTGTTAGTTTTGCCTGTATGTAGAATAGATTATGAACGGAAGAACTACTTTTGAAATACAAAGACATGCAGGAGTCAGATTTATATATGTGCACATGATGGAAATCTATGAAGAGTCACACAGGAAAACTCTTTTAAGTAGTTCTCTGAATGCAAAAATGATACGTTTGGACTTTATTTAGAACAGATACCTAACATACTTTCTGTTGTTATTGCTGTGTTGTTATTGCTACAGAGGAAAATACTTAACATCAGAACTTAAGAACTTTAGGTTTATTTTGTCTCATTGTTTCAGAGATTGTGGTCTGTATTTTACTAGTTTCAAAGCAGAAATATGGTAAACACAAGTGAAGACAAAGGGTAACTAATTTCTGAGAACCAGACACTAGAAAGAGTAGAGAAGGAACCTCAAAGGGAGATATTAGGAACTAGATTTGGTCACACTAGCATGACTCAACCAGACACAGTAAGAAGTGTGCTTTATAAATGTCCTGTATAGCCAACCAATTGTAAATAACATGGCTTCACATATTTTCCTTCTAGAAGTATTGATGTGGAAGGGTGAGGAATTTTAACCTGCAAGGAAAAATCTACTAGCCTGCAAAGCTTTCTGTCTGAAGTTATTACAAATTCATGCCTCAAAACTGGATAGTGACCAAATGGAACAAATGTGGGACATCATTTCAGCATTTATTGTGGCCTTCACACTGGTTATGTTTGTCTTCCAATTTCAGGGTTTTTAAAAATGACCTTGGATGAAGTCTGAAGTTTGTTTAATGGAGTTGGAATATTTGGCTTTCTGTCGTCTTTACTCTTTTGAAGAATATTGCTATAATTAAATTCTTTTTTACATTTACACAATAATTGGGGCTGGGGATTTAGCTCAGTGGCACAAGCACCTGCCTTGCAAGCACGCAGTCTTGAGTTCGATCCCTGATACAAAAAAAAAAAATAGTAGTACAGAATGATTATATTTCTTTTGGGAAATGTATATTCATTTTCTTATCTGAAAATGAAGATTGAGATAGACAGTGTTAAAATCTTGACACTGCAACTTGTTACCTCATTACTAAATATTGATATCTTCCCATTTTCACTAAGAATACATTGAGTCCTTCAAGAAAATAGGAGCTAATCTGAAAAGTCAGTTGTATCATTACTAAATATTGATTATCTTCCCATTTTCACTAAGAATACATTGAGTCCTTCAAAAAATAGGAGCTGATCTGAAAAGTCAGTTGTAAAGCCCTTAATGGCAAGTATCCTTCAGGTGAGGATAATTATTATATAATTATTATAGAGAAAAGCCTGGTCTAGAAGTCTCTTGGGTCATTTAGCTCCACTTTAACAGGCAGCGATTTGTTTCTCCTGTTGGTGCAGAGGGGGAGCAACGAAGCAGGCGTCAATCAGCAAAAAAGAGGCGGGCTGTAGGAACTGTCCAATCAGTTTGCCCAAAGTAGGAGGTCCTTCTAATGTTATTGCGCTGAAGTCGTTTCCACAGCAAATTCTGAGAGCCCTTACCAAAGACATAGTTTTGTGACTTTTAAAGTCTGCAGGCTGCTTGGGAAGGACTCTGGGAGATCCTGAACCACACAAGGCTGATGTTGCGGGTCGGAAGCTGGGGACGGGATGGAATCTGGGTGAGGTCTGAAAGAAAGTGATCAAAACCAGGTATGCGGAACTACAGTCTCCCTGCTTTGCTCCAGACTCTTGGGCACTGATATTTGTTGCTTTTTGTCCCCTTTTCCCTTTGCTGAATCACCGTTTCCTGCATCTTGTCCCCAATATTGTGATAGCTCTGACCCGGAATAAAATCCAAGGAAGCAAAGGCTTTATTTTCAGGCCTGGCAACACAGCCTCCTTAGGATCCACCCAGAGACTGCGTGCCTCACAGCTAAGGGATTAAGTTTTTAAAGCCGAAAACCGCAGGAATGTTGCAATCATTGACACAGATAGCATCTGGGCTTCTCCGTATTTCCTTGAGGTTAAGCATTTCTTAAACAACAGCACATTTTATTATAGATAGCCAGATGAGGGGGTAGGAGAGTTACAAGAAACTGAAACCTAAAGCTTTTACAGCTTTTTCAGGAAATAGAAACTTAACCTAGAAAGATGGGAAGGGGAGGGGGGCTGTACGGAACATATAGAACAAGAAGGAGACGCAATGGTTAGAGCAAGGCTATAACAAATATAACACTGTCAGTCCACAATGGTGTCCTGGGTGATCCCAGGCACAGCTTCATTTCCAACAGTCTTGGAGGAAATACGGATCCTGATTAAGGTGTGAGTTGAAACTAGGTGCACGTGTGGGATGCCAGTTCTCTGTTCTCCTTTTAGTAAAATATCTGGAGGGTTTGATATTTATAAATGTCTGCAAAACAGAGTCTCCCTCACATATCTGATCTCAGACTTCTGCTTATTATATTTACGGTGACTATCTCATTTTTCCAATATTTTCTCACATTGCCAAACTCATAATGTATTGAGAAGGGCCATGAGAATTCAATGCAAAGTTTAATCTTGCAGGTGATATGACTAAGTGGTGGAGTGCTTTTTTCCAAGCACGCAGTTCATTCTTACATTTCTTACTCAGCAACATTGAAAAATATCACCTTAATTATTTATGTCACATCGCAACACACAATGATAAAAGAGAGATTGTGGTCTCAGAATATTGTGGAATTAAAGAAGATGAAGTGTATTATGAGAGTTTTATATTGGAAATAAAAAGAGCTCCCAGATTCCTTTGAAGTATCCTGAGTGGGTGATCATGTGGCTACTCAATCCAGAGCTAATTATATATAACCAGAGTAATTGCAGTAATTGCACCATTGTTTAATAGCCACTTATCACAAATGACTCTGTACTTAAAGTGACCATTTGGAACTTAGACTTCCATGTAAAGTTTAAAGAATTTTAGGGGAAAAGTGGTTAGTGGGGTTTTAGAGAAAAACTGTTTAGTTTTCATTTTTTAGTGCTTAGAATCTTGGTTGCTTAATAAGTAGCAGCCATATTTTCTGAGAAATTTTATTCTGGGTGCACTGTGTGTAGTTCAACTACTATTCTTATTTTAATTATTATTAATATGGCTTATTAACCCTCTTTCTCAGCCCCTTTTCACTAGATAGGTGGCTTGTTCAAAGATTGGTAAGTCAACTATTTATTACAATTAGATTATTTAAATGAGGTCTTCCAGAGAGTTTAGAATGCTAAGAAAAATGGAAGGGATGTTAATGTCTTAACATTAACTTAAGAGAGGGGATGTGGTTCTTGCGGAGGACAATTTAATAAAAGAGTTGCTGGTTAAACCTATACAAAGAAACATTGAACTGGCATATCTACATGTACATGATGATATAGGGGAAAGAAACTCCCAACCTACTATACAAGTACCCTCAACCTACTGTACAAGTAGCAAGTTCATGTCCTCTAAATTTGAAGAATAAATTTTAGGAACAATGGAGGTTAAGAGCAGAAAATATTTATTGAGAGAAAGAAAGCCTCTGAGAAAGACAGACAAACAGAAGAGGTCCCAAGAGGATTGCCAAAGACCTTGTCTTTTCTAGAGACTTTATTTATGGAGTAAAACCACAAAGAAAAGCAGGTCTAAGGTGGAGAAAAAATGGGAACTCACAAAGTGGGTATGAGGTGGCACAGAACTAATTGCTCAGGGACAAATGGGGAAGTGAGTCAGGTAGCAGGCTGGCATGCTTACAGAGCACTGACTCTTCCTGTTGGGGTTTGGGATGGTCACTCCTGGCTTACCCAGGGTGATAGAGATCTATTTAGAATAACAACCCTTATGATGTAGGTATATTTGTTAGATCTTTTGTCTTGAGGTCTGGCCCACACTGGGAGGTGTCTGTTTCATGCAAAGTTGCAAAATAACTAGTCTTTTGCACTGTCTCTTTTGAAGGCATAGCCCTGTCTAACTGCCTATAATATTACTATCTAATTCAGTTGCCTTTAAAGATGAGATATCAGCAGTAGTGGGAATGGAAAGGGATGTCATCTCTGAAATAATTGTTATAGTCCCGCTATTTTAGTTATGTTAGAAATATCATAGGTGGTCAGATTAGACTAGGCCCTTGAAAGAGCTATGTAGATGAAAATACTCTACAACTGTATTTGGAGTTACATTCCTTGAAGGCCAGACCTCAAGACAAAAGATAGAGTGACTGTATCCACACACTTCCTCAGGGGATGAAGAACAATCATTGATATTCTAGATAGGTATCAACTACCTAGGGTCAGAGAGTAGAACCTTCCTTGTCATATACATGAAAGAGCTCACATTATGGAAAAACCCTATGTATGTGAGCAATTGTGGGAAAGCTTTCAGCACACACGGTGTTTATCAAATACATGAAAGAAAACACACTGGGGAGAATCCATATGTATGTAAGCAATGTGGGAAAACTTCCAGCAGAAACAGTCATTGGAGAACACATGAAAGAATTCACATGGAGGAGAAACCTTATGTATGTAAACAGTGTGGGAAACCTTTTAGGACATGTGATGCTATTCAAATTCATGGAAAAACCCACACAGGAGAGAAACCCTATGTATGTAAGCAATGTGGGAAAGCTTTCATGACATGTAGTTTTCACAAACATAAAACAGTTCTCACTGGGCAGAAACCCTATATGTAAGCAATGTGGGAAAGGGCTCAGCAGATTGATTGCATGTACAGTACATGAAAGAATTCAGATGGGAGAAACCCTGTATATGTAAGCAATATGGGAAGCTTTTAGATGGCACTATGACTGCCAAAGACATGAAAGAAATCACTCTGGGCAGAAAACTTATGTATGTTTGCAATGTGGTAGAGCTTTCACTACACAGGATTATTGTAAAATACATGAAAAAATTCACACTGGGGAGAAACCCTATGTAAGCAGTGTGGGAAAGTTTTTACCACATATGAGTATCATCAAAAACATCAAAAAAGTCACACTGGAGAGAAACCTTATATATGTAAGCAATGTGAAAGAGGATTTACTGCTAAATTCACATTAAACAGACATAAAACTCACTGGAGTGAGACCCTATGTATTTAAGTAATATTGAAGTGCTCCCAGCACAAACATGTAATATCAAGTATATGAATATATGTAGTTCATGTCAGATACATGAGAGACTCACTAACAAAAAAAATTGTTCGGATTACACACTTTTTGCTTTAAATTTTGGTGTATGTTCTGTGTATTTGTTGTGTCAAAATGTATTTTTCAATTTGATGCTATTTTCATATTAAGTATTTTCATTAGATGTTGAACATGTGTTTTTCATGAAGTTGAATCATTTTGACACATGTTATACATTTGCAGATTTTGTTTTTCATATCATGACAGGATGCTTGCTTATATGTATACATCACTGTAGATTATGTCATGTGCCTAATTTTGGATTTGTTTCATCTTCAATATTATCACTTCTATAAAATTTACCATCAAGAATTTTATGTTTCATATTTATATTGCAATGACATTTAATTTACTGGGAATTTTTCCAACACATATCCCAAAAATAAACCACTGCTGTAAGTTTCTGAGTGCCAGCATCCCACAAGACTGTAACTTGTCTCCAAAAGGATATCATGAATTATAGTAATCTCTCCAGAAAGAATAAAGGATGATACAATTTATCAAAAGCAACACTTTCTTTTAAAAGATTGTTTTTCAGCTCTAGGTATTTCAGGGAGTATAGTCACTATTAAATGTACAAAGCAAATGCCTTATTCTGTCCCCTGATACTGTGATACCATTCTATCTTTGGTAATCTTTATTGTTTTTATCTACTTAGCTATAATATTGGAAGTAAGGAAAACCTAAATCATGAGAGGTGCCACTCAGTCTATTAAAAGCTGAAATTTATAATTTACATTGTGTCAGGGGTTTTTCTGTGGGAGTGATGTACTTCTCAATGCTATTCTTCATTGTTCATAAGGTTCACTGTCTGATGTTGATGTTTGTTACAAATGACTTGAAACATACTTTGCCAACATGTATGTGTGAATCCCAGTTGGTCTCCTGCAATCTGTATTTTAAAAATCATTTCTATTTTTTTTTTGTCTTTTTCATTTTTATCGGTACCAGGGATCGAACTCACGACCGCCTGATTGCAGGGCAGGTGCTTATGCCGCTGAGCTAAATCCCCAGGCTCATTTCTACTTATTAACATCACTAGGAAGATATGTTTTCTATATTGCTATCCCAGATAGTAACAAAATATTACAAATATAATACATTTTCTCTTAATCACATTTACTTTCCCATTATTTTGCTGTGAAAAATAGATTGGTAGGCTTGGTGATATATTTTCAATCCTAGAAACTCAGGAGGCAGAAGTGGGATGAACACTAAATTGAGTACTGCCTAGTGAGAAAGTGTCTCAAAATATTTATCAAACACCTGCAAATGTACCCCAGTGGTTTAGTACTCCTAGGTATACTCCCCAGTATCAAAATTATTTTAACATTAACTATTACACATTAATTTTTTTGTCTTTTTCTCACTTAGCATATAAAGGTCTAAACCAAATAATATCCCTTAAGCACCAGCATCAAGAGAGTTTGAGACATAATGATCATGGCTTTAAGTCAGTTATGATGTAGATAACAGCTAGATGCCTTTGCAAACTAATCAGCAGTTCTCTTTTTTATCTACATA